CAGCACCGACAAATTTCACAATATTCGGGTGATCAAAGTTGGCCACTAGTTTGATCTCCTCCACGAAAGCTGCCACATTATTCTTTGTGTATCTGTCCGGCCGAAGACGTTTGGACGCGAGAAGCTGTAGATTTCGATAGCGTACAAGCCAAACAGTAGCGTATCCTCCTTGACCTAGTTGCTTGATTTCCTGGATAGAATCGACACAAAGCTGTAGTGATAGAAGCTCATAGTCATTCCAAAGCGACGTTTCTGGTGTCGTCCGAACAGCAGACGCATACTTCGAAGTACTGATGCTGGAAGCCTCAAGAACCGGAATGTCGATGCTGTCATCATCACCTCGTGATGAAGTGGGGATGCCCATCGAGAAATTACTGGAATGTCTTGTGAGGCCCTTGATACGTTTGTTTGAGCTAGAACGCAGCTTCTTTTTCTGTCGATTGCCATTTTCTGGGGTAACGGTGTGGCCACCATTGTATTCAACCGCAGTATTCTGCTCGGGATTCCGTGGTCGTTTCTTTTGCGTGGCAGTGAACACGAAGATACCAACCAGCGCTACAGCTGAGATCCCGTAAACGATACCCAATACCAGACGTGTTATTGTCGATGACATGTCAGAAGCGTTCGAATCCAAATCATCCACTTGCGTTGCTCTCGACGCATCCGAACCATTTCCAACGTATTCAGAGGAGTCTCTATCCGTAAGACATACTGTTACTCCGTTTATAACGCTCTGCTCCGTGTCATCACACCCCACAGGAACTTGAAAATCTGAATCAGAAAGCCCCAACGTGTCCAGATCCCGCAAAAACTTCACTTGATCTGCTGTGAAATATCGAGATGAGAATTTGTTCCCCAGTAAATTTCTACAACGTCAATAGCGCAGAAGTCAATTTGTTAGTGTGTTTTGCGAAAAAAATTAAATAAAAAAGCAGAAATGTATCATCAACATACAGTGACTTCAGTTTGGGGTGCCGATAGATCGCAGGTGGAATGCTAGCCAAATTGTTCTTGCCGAGATACCTAGAGATTCCAGAATGAAAATAGAGATGTGAGCATATTCTGCAAAGTACGAAATCCTGTCCATGTTGCCCGTACAAATATTCTAAGTCAGGAAAAACTCCATTGAAGGTGTTGATATTGTTGCCCTCCAAGCTCCTGCGAAGAAGAAAAAAAGATAGTTAGAGGAGTTTTATACAACAGAGTCTGGAATCACCTCGTACAGGGTGGTGATGGAATCAATAACATTGTTTGAGTGTAGAGTTGATAAATAATTGTTATCCAGCATCCTGGTCATCCAAAAAACAAAACAACATTAAGTTGAAAGAAATCGGCAGGATTGCAGCAAAAATCCACGTACAATCGCTGGAGTGAGGCCATATTGCCTAATTCCGTTGGGAACGCTTGTAGTAGTGTATTGCTGAGGTCGAGCGTCTGTACCGATGAGGGTAGATAATCTGGTAGCAAGTTAATTTGTGTTCCCAGGTCAAGATTTTGAAGCGCCACCTTCGTCACCTCCGTCTGTAGATAAATAAAGTTTGAGGTCAACGATATTCTGGAGACCTTGCCTTTAGGGTACTTTGACGCAGCAGTTCCGCCTGATACAGTACTAAACGATTATGTCAGTGAATAGTAAAAAAAAAAATGTAGGAGAACAACTTACAGTGTTGTAACTTGTGAAGACAGGTCGATTGATCCGAGAGTATCCACTTGGTCGTTCGACACTGAAGGCCACTCATTCGTGTCATCCGGGTAACCGCTTAAGTCCGCGTCACTGTAGTTCCCTGCTGCCACTTCTTGTGCACTCCGATAGTCTCCAAACTCCACCAGCACAACTATAGTGGTCGAATTATCGTCAGCGCTCAGACAGTCGAAGGTGCAATTTCCATCCGTCTTGCAATTGGGACCGATGCAGTCGCTAGCCAAGCTAAAGCCTCGACACATTACGTGCTCTTCGCAAGCTGAACAACCCGCGGTAGTGAGCGTTGAAGATCCAGCAGCACACTCAGCATTGACAAGCTTGAGAATTAGAGTCCAAGCAAGTCCCAGTGACCCCAGATGTCGAGTCCAAGCGGGGCCTGTTGAAGCACTTAGCATTGCTAATGCAAAATGACTGTCACTACTGTACTAATAAGCCCGGCCGCGCCAATC